GGGTTGGTCAGCCATGAGCACCAGTGCCGGGCATAGTTCTCTGCGGGGGAGGGCCGGGGGCACCACGTGATCGTGCGGCTCCGCCCCGCGCCCCTCAGCCCCCGGGAACAGTGAATTGGAACCTGGGGCCCACCCTGCCGTGCCCCGTCCGCCCGCACCCCTGCCCTCCTCACACCCTCCTGCCTCCGTGGGGCTCCCCGAAGCCCCGCCCGGGGATCCCCACGGCCTAGGGGACAGGAATGGCAGGCCGGGTGGGACTTGAGCCTGGGGTGGCCCCAGGCTGGGGGTTACCGTTCTCCACGCTCAGGGAGCAGGGGTCCTCGAAGCTGTTCCTGACGTTGGGGCAGGCGGCCTGGGTCTTCCAGGTGTTGGCAAAGGCCGCGCCCGTGCCCTCCACCACCCCGCTGAGGGCCGTGAAGTCGTCCGCCTGGTTCTGGTTGAAGTTCCCGCAGAGGCCTGGGGGCGGGGCGGGGGGACGTCAGTGGGCCCCATCCAGCCTGCGTCTCCCTGGGGCCTTGCTTCCAGAGCCCACCACAGGTAGCCGGGCGGCAGCCCCCTCCCGTCCTCCGCACTTCCGGCCACTGTCAGACATCTGTGTCCTGGGCTGGCGCCGGCCCCTCCCCAGTCCCCTCTGCTGCCGGCCTCTGCCCACCGCCACCCCTGCCGGCCCCCCACGGAAGCCCCCGCAGCCCCACTGGGCCCTCACCGCATGTCTGGCCGCGGTATGCGGGGTCCAGCCGGACGAACACCTGCATGAGTGGCACCAGCTGCACCTGCAGCTGCAGGCCGGCGCCTGCCTGCGCCACGAGGAAGAAGCTCGAGGGTCTGAAGATGGTGATGTTGGCTGGGGGGGGGGGCGGGGCGGGGCGTCAGAGGGCGGAACCGGGGCTGAGGGACAGACGCAGGGCCCCTCCCTCGCAGCCTGCGGGGGCCTTGTCACCCCCACTCTGCAGCCCAGACCCCACCGTGGGCTGTTCCGGGACTGCCTGAGGCCAGGGTCCGAGCGGGAAGCTGCCAGGCTCTGGGAGCTGAGCCCGCCCTGGAGGCGCCGGCCCCGGCCCAGCTGCCCGGGGCTGCCGCGTACCTGCCGACACGGGCAGCTGGGTGTAGATGGAGTTCATGAACACGCTGCCGTCCGCCTGGATCCGGATGACCTGGTGGGGGTGGGCAGGGTCAGCGGCAGCCGGACCCCCCTGCCCTGACTCAGACAGGGTCACCCGGCGTCACCCGCGGGGAGCGGAGCCTGCATGGGTTCTAGAACCGCCGTGCAGATCGTGGCTTGCGGGGTTCGCGCAGGGGCCGAGGCCTCCGTCTCCCGCCTCCGCCCCGTCCAGTGCAGGGGCGCGGCCACACGGCCGGGCAGCCCTCACCGTGTCCCCGCCGTCCAGGTGCAGCGTCACCGCGCGCAGGCAGTTCTCGTTGTCGGTCAGGCCGCATTGCCGCAGCTCGGCCAGCACGGCGAAGGTGTTGTCCGCACATTTCTGAGGGGCAGACGCCCCGTCAGGATGTGGGCCGTGGCGCGCCCCTGCGCCCGCAATGCCCACGGGTGCGGCTCTGTGGGGAGTGGCCTCTGGCACCTCTGGTCTCCCCCCGGCAGCCTGTCCCAAGGCCTGGGGCCCACAGCCGCGTGCAGCCGGCGGGCGTGAGCCAGGGCTTCCCTCGCGAGTGGGGGCGTCTCCGGGGCGGGACGGGCGCAGGGTGCCCTGCGCGGGGGCCCACCTTGGACAGCACGTAGCTGCAGTCGCCGTGCAGGTCGTAGAGCTTCTCGTCGTAGGTGGAGATGTGGGCGCCGCCCTGCACGGAGCAGGTGCCGGGGCACGGCCGGGCCTGGCACTCCCACAGCCCCCCGGAGCAGGTGCTGGGGGCGGGAGCAGAGGGGAGTCGGGGAGCTGGGCCACCCACGCGTTCCCCCACCGGCGGGGGCTGCCGCGGCCTACCAGGAGCTGCAGCTGGTGGCAAAGGAATCCCCCGGGGCGTAGGTGCGGCCGCTGTGGGTGCAGGGGCACTGCCCCAGGGGCAGGCAGCCGGCGTGCGTGACGTCGTCCAGCACGGTGCCTGGGGGGTGGGGCAGGGAGCACAGGTGGGCGCCGAGGCGCGGGGTCCCCTGCCCAGCCCCCGAGAAGACCCCAGCCTCGGGGACGAGCTGCCTCCTGTGAGAAGGGCCCCAGACCAGACGGCGGCCTCTGCCCTGAGACCCCCTGCTGTGGGGGGGCCCCCAGCGCCTCTGTGCCTTGGTTTCCCTTCCTGGACCCCAGGACTCGTGACGGCTGGTCCGCCTGCCTCCGCTGATCGGCAGGCCCTGGCGGCCAGTGTCCACCTGCCTGGGCTCTAGGGACCCCTGGGTGAGGCTGTGCGTCTGGGCCGCCAGCTGGGGCTGGGGCGCACAGGGGACGGCGACGGCGTGGTGGTGGGAGGCGGGGACCTGCCTGGGGGGCAGAAGCAGCCGTCCACGCAGTGGTCCTCACAGAGCTGCGAGCGCTGGGGGTTGGAGCAGGTGTCCGCGCAGGGCGAGCCGCACTCCTGGTGCTCCATGTTGAGGGGGCAGGTCCGCGCTGCGGTGGCAGGAGGCAGGGCTGGGCCCAGGGGTGGCCAGACCCCAGCCCTGCTCCCCACGGCCCAGGGCAGGGCCCCCATGCTGGCAGCTGAGCCGGCCGCACCCCACCTGCCACCAGGGCCTCCGGATGCCAGGCCGGGCCCAGGAGCGGCCCAGATGCCCTGGTCTTGGGTGGCCCCAGACCCCGGCCGTCTCCTGGGTGAAGCTCAAGGAAAGGGAATGGGCCTGTCTCCTCCTGCGCGGCCCCCGTCCCCTCTCCCCGTCCACCCTCAGGCTGTGGCCCCTGAGGGGCAGCCCTGCCCTGTCTCCCCAGCGCGCCCCTGGCCCCGGCAGTGCACTCACGGCAGAGGTCGGGGCTCCTCCAGTTCTGTGGTTGGCCCCCGGCGTGGGCACACTGGCGGGAGTACTCAGCGAAGGTGGCGCACGGGCAGGTGGGGCAGCGGCACAGGTCATGGGCACAGGCGGCCAGGTACGCAGAGGCGTCCACCAGCGCGTTGCACTCGGCGAAGGCTGGTCCCCTCAGGGTGCTGCGACAGACGCCCCCCTGGGGCACAGCGAGGGGTTGCCGTGTGCACGGACCAGCCCCCTCCTGCTGGCGAGCTCGCCGCCCCTCCTACCCCACCCGCCCTGTCCCACCGCCATGCACCTGCGGCCCTGGGCGTGGCTGCACTTAGCTGGGGTTTGCCGCGACCCTGGGCTCCCCCAGCCCAGGCCGCCGGGACGTGCCTGCCCAGTGTGAGCCCAGGAAAGGTGCAGACCCCGCTCCAGGGGGCGGATCAGAGAAGGGACAGTGGGAGGTGGCCGTCGGCCTTGGGCCCCCACAGGCTCAGTGCCGCCCCCGGTGAACGTCCTCCCTCCCCGGGGCCCCCAGGCGGGCTGCGTGAGGGGCAGGGACCAGGGACCCGCAGCTCTGGGGATCGGGATCTTCCAGGCCACATCCAGAGGTGGGTCCTCCCCGCTCACGGGGGAGGCTGTGGTCCTGGGCTCCCTCAGCGTCGCCCTCAGCCTGGCCTGGGCCGTGTCTTGTCTGGGCACCCAGGACGTGCTCAGACCTCAGCCCGACTGTGCCGGCGCCTGGGGGCAGGCGCTCACCCCGTCCGTGCAGTTGCCGGCCGGCTCAGGATGGGCGTCCGGGCACTGCTCCGTGGGCCCGTCCAGCTTCTGCAGGTTCCCGAACTGCAGGGGGCTCAGCCTGGCGTCTGTGGAGAGAAGCACCCGTATGGCGGCACTGCAGCCTCTGGGGTGTGGAGGGCGAGGCTGGCCGCCAGGGGACCCCGACAGCAGGGGCCTCGCCCTCCGGCCTCCCTCCCAGCCCCCACTGTGCCCCCTCCTGTCCTCCCCGGGACTGTCCGGGCCTCGGTGGGACGGGCACACTCGGCCACTGCCCCAGCTCCGGGCGCACTCACTGTGGGCGTAGAACTCGTTGAAGGCCGGGAGGCCGTTGAAGTCGCCGCACAGGCCACAGGTCTGGTTCGCGTACTTGGGGTCCAGCTCGAGCTGGGGCAGGGGAGGGGCAGCTGCTGCCTCAGAGCCTCTGCCCATGAGGCCCCGCGGCCCCCACCGGCCCCCAAGCACCTGGGCCCCCTCTGGATGGGCCGGGAGGGGCGGGGACCCGGGGGCTCCCTCACCAGGGCGCTGTCCTCTCCATTCCACAGCAAGGTCAGGACCAGCCGGACGCTGACCTTGACGTACTCGCTGCTGCGCTCCACCAGGAGGCCGGCGCGGCTGTAGGGCAGCTCCTCCCTGGGCGGGAAGTTCTGGTTCTCCCCGGGCCGGGCCATCGGGCAGGGCCCAGAGCCCTCCCTGCCACCTGTGGCCCGACCCCAGCCCGGCCCTGGCAGTGGGGACGGGTGGGCCTGGAAGGCCACGCGCTCACCGCTGCCCGTCGACAAGGACGGAGCCGTTGGACACCTCCAGCACCAGCCCCGGGGCCTTGAGCACGATGTGGGTGATGGTGGGCTTGGAGCCCGCCAGGCCGCGGCGCAGCTGGACGTTGAAGTCCTCGTAGGCGGCGCCACAGTGCGCGGAGAACACGTAATTGCAGAGGCCGGGGAAGCGGAAGACGTCGCCGTCGAAGGTCTTGTAGTGGAAGTCGCCCCAGGTGCTGCAGACCCGCCCGCTGTGCGCCGGGTTCCAGGCTGCGGGGAGGGCGTGAACGGGCCTGCCAATGTCCACGCCCACCCCACGCCCGCCCACGCTGGGCAGCCCCCTCCAGGCCAAGACGCCCTGTTCTTGGCGCGAGGAAGCTGGTGGCGACCAGCCGCTGTCCCTGCCGGCCGCGCCTGCCTGGCTGCCCGATGCCCCCACCCCTCCCTGCAGCGGTGCTCAGTCCCCAGAACTGCCCACGGGGAAGGCTCGGGCCCCCCCAGCCGGCCCCCACGGTGCCGGCTTCACCCCACGTCGGGCCCCCACCCCTCCAGGCGGGCAGGGCCGGCGTCACTCACAGCTGCTGCTGGGGAGGACGGTGACGGGGGTGACGAAGCTCATGTGCCAGGTGGGCAAGGACGTGGGGCGGGCTGTGGGCAAGGGCCGGGCCACCGGGGCCAGGTTACCGGGGACAACCCCCAGGCCCCACCCTCACTGGCCACCCCGGGGCAACGGGAAGCCCAGGACTATAACGGGCTGGCCTAGGACAGGGCCGTCCTGTCCCCGTTTGTCACCCTAGACCCTCCCGCCCTGGGGGTTTCCACCTGCGTGTGGACGCGTGTGTGCACAGGCGTGTGCTGCCTGCACGTGTGAGCCTCCCAACTGTGCACCTTCCTCTCCTCTAGACCCCCATCCGCTCGACGCCTGCACTGCCCCGCGGGGACCTGGGGGCTCCGTGTGGCGCGCAGCTACGTGGACGCCCCCAGCCCACTCGGTGCCCGGCCCCTTCCGCCTGGGCAGGAAACCCCCACCCGGGCCTGGCTGCGTACCGCCGTCCGCTCTGCGACTGTCCGTGGGGGGCCCTGTGCTCCCCCAGCTCGGCTCCGCGGGGGACTGGGTCTCTGCGGGAGGAGGGGTGGGAGTTGACGAGAAGCCAGACGAGGGTCCACCCTGCCCACGTCTGCCCGTGTGGCCTCGTTTGCGGGTCTCTGTGCCCGGAAGAGCTGGTGCTTCAGGAGCTCGCTCTGGCCCGAGGCTGCGACCCCTCCTGGGCCTGCCTGGGAGCCAGACTGAGTTGGATTGAGCAACCCCAGCTCTCGCGACGGCACTGCCGCCAGGCACCCCTCCTCTGCAGACGTGGGGGGCTGGCACCTGCTCCCCTGAGCGGGGGAGGAAATGGAACCAGGAAAAGGCGTCGGCCCCATCACCGTGGCCGCCTCAAGGAGGGGGCTCAGCCCCGTCCACACGTCCCTCGGAGAAGGACAAAGACCGGCTTTGTTGGGGAGGCGTCCAGGCGTGACCAAGCAGAAACCGAAGACCAGAACCGTCGGTCAGGCGGGCTGCGGGCCGCGGGGCATTGCCCGGCGTTGGGTTGGCCCCGGGAAGGGGCATCTGCACGCCCGGCCCCCCGGTCCTCTCTCTGCCTGGCTCAGGCCGGGCCACTCCCTCCCCGTGGCCCTGGAGCTCCTGTGCTTGTTGCAGTGGGCGGCGGCGGGCTGCCATCACCGTGGCATGAGCTAGGCCAGCCCTGCCCCCTCCTCAGCTCAGGTGTGGACACGGCCGGCCGGGCCGCCTGGCTCACACCCGCGCCGTGGGCACCCAGTCTGCAGCCACGTCCCACGAACATTCCGGAAAGGCAGGGACTGGCTGGCGCGTGGCTCTTTTCTCTGGAAGGCTCAGTTGACTGCGTTTCCCAGGAGCGAGGCCACTCCGTCCATCCGCCCCGACCCAGGGCCACCGCCCGCTGGCCCCACAGCCCCTCCTCCCCGCCCCCGTCCCCTCGGGCACCCGCTGGGCGCAGGGCCCTCCTTGGGCCAGCGGCTCGGGCTCCATCACTCGGCCAGAGAAATGCCTACTGCCGCCCACCCGTCCCACCTCGGCCGGCGCACGACCCCCTGACGTGCAGCCCGGCGCGCCCTGCGCAGATGCGAAGCCCCTCCGTGGGGCCCAGCCCCTCCCCCGCTGGCCACGGTGTGTCTCGTTGTGACAGAAGCATCCTCCCGCCTGGGGGCTTGGTAGGTGAGGGCCAGGTGGGGCTGACAGCCACTGGGCGCCCCCACCCCCGTGGTTCACAGAGCCCTGGCCACGCCTGGTGCTGCCAGGTGGGGGACACGGCCTTGCCGGGGAAACCAGTATCCCAGACACACAGCAGGAGGAGCCCTCCCTGCCCCAGCCCTGCCCACACCCCAGCAGGGAGCTCGGGCAGGAGTAGACATGGGGCAGGGACACTTCCAGGTGTCAGCTGGCGGCCCCTGGGGCCACAGCTTTCTCTGTTGACAGTAAGTATTAGCACTTGAGCTCTTCCTGAGAGAGGTGACAGGCCAGGGAAACCGCTCGCCGGAAAGCTACAGTGGGTGTGGCCTGCGATGCCCAGCGGTGGCCCTGCTGCAGGCCTGTGGCCATGGGCACCTCACCTGTCTCCTGTGGCCCCAGCCCTGTCGCCTGACCTAGGTGACCTAGGGAGCTTGCTGGCATAGAAACCTCTGCAGACCTGACAGTCTGCACAGCTGTGGCTGTTTTCCAAATGGTAAGGACATTCCAAGGGCAGGAGGAGCTGAAAACAGTTTCTGTCCTGGGGCGGAAAACTGCTCCGGGACTGCTGTCAGGAACGTCCAGCCCGCCGGAAAACTGGCCTGGCCACAATCCCACATTTATGTTCTCATTTTGTTTTGGGCAGAAACAGCTTTGCTGAGGTGGATGTGCACCTGGATACCTTAGTCTTTATCAGCGATCTTTCAAGCTTACCTGAGTGATGCATAGCTGTTATTGTGATCTTTCTGGAAATCTTTGGAACTTCTCTGCCTGTGGGGTATCTATAGAGCATCGACTGCTCTGTACGATTTAGGATGATCTTTTGTTGTTAGAACGGAGGAACACGAGTGAGGACTTACTCTCGGGACTCTGGGTCTGGAGAGCCTCGAGCCCCGGACCCCACTCTTTCTCCTCTGTCGTCCCATTTCTTATTCCCGCGCGACGCCCTGTTTTCGACCCGACGGCTGGGGAACCTCCCGGCAGGGGCTGCCCTGTTGGCTGTTGCCTCAGGCCGGAGGGCGGAGCGGCCCTGGGCAGGGCCTGAGCTGGGGCAGCTCTGCTCACTCTGGCACCCGGCCAGGGAGACCCCAGCCAGGGCCCTCGGCCGGCACCCAGCCCTGTCCCACCCCCGGGCCTGCCCTGTGGTCAGGTGGGGACACCCCGGTCTGTGCAGGGCCTCCCCCTCTTCGTCTCTCGCCGGCCTCCTTGTCCGCTGACGCTACGTCACCCCAAGTGGACGCGGGCTGAGGTTGGGGGCCGTGGTGTCCGGGATGCGCGCGCTGAGGCCGCCCCGCCGTGAGCACGGCGTCGAGTGGGCCGGGGGCCTTACCTGCCTGCCGCGCCACAAGCAGGGCCACGAGGGCCCACGCCAGCGCCCGGCACGCACCGCTGGTGCCCATGGTGGGGGCCGGCTTGGCGGGCGGTGAGGAGAGAGTGGCCGGGTGCCTGCTCCCCTGGGGGCCTCGGGCTTATGTAGCAGGCGGCCTTGGCCGGGCGCCCGGCTCCTGGGCCACGCAGGGCGCCCTTCTCTCTCCAGAGCCTCCACGTGTGTTTGCTCTTGGGGAGGGGCCGTGGCAGGGAAGAGGCCTGGAGGAGGAAGGATTTGCAGCTCTGCACCCCAAGGCGCAGGACACCCCCACCCCCCGCAGCTTCTGACTGTGGTTGGCAGGGAGGGGGAAGGCCGTCCCGTCGGTGCCTGGTAATGCCAGTGCCGTCCTCAGTGGCAAAGCCCCGAGGCAGGCTGGGCCTGACCTCCCAGGCCACAGGGACGTGGTCGCGAGCCCACCTCTCCCACCCTTAGCCCGCCAGGCTCCCTGGGGTGGCCAGCGGGGAGTGGGCTGAAGGAGAGTAGACCTCAGCCCAGAGGCCCTAGGCCTGAGCAGAGGCGCTCGGCACCAGTCCCACGGAGGAGGGGTCGTGCGCTGTGCCAGCACCAACGGGCGCCGCCCGGCCCGGCGGTGGGCAGCCCTGGAGCACCTGCTCAGCTCAGGGCTGTGCTTGGCTGGCACCAGAGTGGGGGACGGGTCTGTGTGTCTTGTGGGGTCCCGGGGGAGGCTGCATGTGCAGGCACCCCCGCCCAGAGAGCAGAACCCCTTGAAGGCTCTGGGAGGTCTCTGGGCTCCTCTTCATTTTGAGGTTCAAGTTCCAGGGGAAACTGAGACCTGAGCGTGCTCACTGGCGGTCAGCGCTGCTCGTCCCACATGAATTGGGGCAGAGGAAGCAGCTCTGGGGTCTGATGGGGACCCCTGGGAGGGGAGCCCCTGGGAGGGGAGCCCCTGGGAGGGTGGTGGGCGGGAGCTTCCTGGGGCCGCATGTCCTTCCCTCCCCAGCGACGGTCAGAGTCCACAGCACCCTCCTCTGCCACGCGCTGCCCGAGCAGGGCGTTCCGTCCCCAGCGCTTCTCTGCCCGTTTGCTGTGCATTCGAGCTGCCGTCCTCTGCTCTCTCGCCACCAGCGTCCTTAGCAGAAGCTGCGTTGCCCGAGAACGTCCCTCGGTAAGAACCCCCGGCGGAGACGTGCCAGGGCGCCTGGCTTTGGCCAGCCCCGTGTCGCCAGGTCTGTGTGCCCTGCCGGCCGTCAAGCCCTGTCCTGGGGCCCTGGCAGGGACCCCTGCACCCATCTTCCCGAAGACGGATCCCTAGAAGTGGAGTCAACGCGGCAAAGGGGAGGCCCCTCACAAAGGTTTTGAAGCACCTCACGCCCAGCAGGACGGCTGCTGTCCCACCAACAGAAGTGACAAGCTGGCAAGGACACGGCAGCACCGGAGCCCGTGTGCTGCTGGTGGGAATGTGAAGGCGGGGCGGGAAATCGCGGGCAGGAAACCGCGGGGCGGGAAACCGCGGCGCTTCCCCGAGGAGCTGAGCGTCGGGCTCTGCGACCCAGCACTTCGGCTCCTGGCCTGCAGACCCCGTTCTCAGCGGCCTTGTTCACACACGCCAAAATGCAAAACAGCTGCAAGGCCTGGTGGATGCCCGGGTCACGCGCGGCTGTCCCGCCTGGACGACTCCTCGGCCTCTGAAGGCAGCCGGTTCTGACGCGGGCTACGACACGCAAAACACTTGGCCGCTGCTCACTGGGCTGAGATCGCACAGGGGACGCGCCGTGTGGCGCACTGATGCGAGGTCCCAAGTCGCCAGGCCCGTGGGGACGGAGAGTGGATGGCGGGTGCCGGGGCAGGGAGGGGGACAGGAGTCCGTGTGTCGCAGGGACGGAGCCTCGGTTTGGGAGGACGAGGAAGTCCTGGAGCGGGGCGGCGGTGCTGGCTGTGGGACGTGCTTAACGCCGCTGAGCCGTGCCCTCAAACGCAGCTTAGGTGGTAAATGTTACGTGTTTTTTACCACGGTGATAATCTCAAAAAGGTTTTGACACGTCTTGCCACACATCACCCCTCCTCGTGGCTGCGGCAGAGGCTGGGCCTCCTTCAGCGCAGGCACCGCGGGCCCCAGGTCTCCGCAGAGCTCAGACCCTGTGCCCACTCGAGTACGCCCGGCCCAGGGCTCAGGCTGCCGCCAGCTGCCTCCGCCACGGTGTCATTTCCAAAGTACAGGGGGCTGAGGCCTTTGGTCTCCCAACCCTCTGGCACAGCTGCGGGGGCTCGGGGGAGTGGATGCGCCAGGGGACCTCAGAACGGTCGGCCGGGCGGGCCAGGGCCCCTGCCGGGCTCTTCTCTGCTGCTGCCTGGGCACAGCCACAGCCCCTGGCGGACCCTTCTCTCCACCGCCTTCCTGCCTGCTCAGTGACGCAGTGGCACCTGCCCCCTGCCCGGATCCCCTGGCCTGCGGCTCCCAGGGCCCCTCCTGGCCTCCTCCTCCCCACTCCCGCCCATTCGGGGGCAGCCCCTCAGCCCAGCTCAAGCGGCCCGGGTGCCTCTGTGTTCCCTCTGGGGACCCCGAGGTGGCTCAGTGTCTCCCGGCCGTCCCTCCGCACCTGCAACCGGGAGGAGAGCCCCGCGGGCAGGGCCTCCCCGCCTGCCCACCTGGCGTGCAGTAGGCACTCAGTGCGCACCAGACGGGTGGGGGTGGCTGCAGCCTGGGCCCCACCACTGAGCACCTCCAGGGCAGAGGGCAGAGGGCAGAGGGCAGAGGGCAGGACAGGGCGGGTCCCAGCGGGCTGAGGCGGTGGGGCGGCCGCCACCGTGGCCTGTCAGGGTTGCAGCTATTGAGACATCCCGGATGTGGCCTGGGGAGCGCGGCCTGTTTGCGCAGCCTGTTTGCAGAGTCAGCTCTTCACAGCTGAAGGTGCTGACAACAGAAGGGGAGGGAGGGAAGGCGGACAGCGGTTCCTGCCGGGAAGGTGGGGCGGCACAGCCTCCTGGGGCGTGGGGAGGCTCCCGCCCCCGGAAGAGCCGGGAACCTGCCCTGCGGCTTTGGGCTTTGCCTGCCCTGGGGAGAAGGGGCCGCAGGCGGCCCCTGTGGGGTTGGTCCTGCCAGGAGGACCCGCCCAGGACCCCCCCCCAGCCTTCCCAGCCCTCCCCCGCCTCCCGTGGCGGTGCAGGTTTGAGGACGGGGCCGCAGGGTCCACGGGCTTCGGGCATTTATTGAGTGCTGGCTGTTTGCCCAGCTCCACGCTGGGCAGCACGGAGCACCCGGGAGGCCCAGGTCGTGGCCCTGGGGCGTCACAGCCTGGTGGGCTCTCATCTGCTCCAAGCCCACCCTGGGCAGTCCTGGTGATGAGGGGGATGGGGGTGCCACACACCAGCTGCCTCCTGCACCCCAGGGGCGCCTCCCCTCTGGGACGGGGGCTCAGCGCCCTCATGCTCCCGGTGGGTTGAGGGGCCCAGTGCGTGCCCAGAGGGCCGTGGACAGGGAGGGTGGTCTGAGCACCCAGCGCCCTGTGCGGGTGACCCAGCAGGCCCCGCCCTCCCCGGCACACTCCGGGGTCTCCTGCAAGACTTAGGGGTCTCGCGCGATCTGGACACCGGAGCTGGTGGCTGGTGGGCCATCAAGGCCCCAGACCCTGGCCTGTCCAGCAACAGGCCTCCCTGGGTGGGCCGAGTCGCCCGGCGGGGGCACATCCTGCCCCCTGAGCCACCACAGCTGAGAGGACAGCTGTGCCCATCCCCCACCCCCGCGCCTGGGCTGCGAGAAGGTGGAGCCCCCCCGCAGCACAGCCCCTGCCCTGGGCCCACGCCGTGGCCCACCCACGGCTCTGCTTTTTCCTGGTCTTCACACAGCTCCCTTTCTCTGCCTGCTCCCGCCCTGCCTGCCTGCCTTCTGGCACATTCTGAGCAGCCAGCTGTCCTGGCGCTGCCCTGGGCGTGGGGTCTGAGGGGGAAGGAGGGAGCAGCGAAGGGCAGTGGCCTGGGGGTCTGGGAGGTGCTGATTGGAGCATTTTAAGCAGGAAAACTGTAGGGCACGGTTTTTTTATTGTGGTACAAGGCATAGGACAAGAAATTTACCGTTTTAACCACTTCTAAGTGCACGTTCAGGGCCATTAAGTACTTCACAATGCGCAGCCGCCGCCGCCACCATCTCCAGAACTTTCTCATCCTCCCAGTGAAGCCCTGTCCCGTGGACACGAACTCCCCGTCCCCTCCCCAGCCCCGCACCCCCATCCACTCTGTCTCTGTGGGACCGAGGACGGGGGACCTCGGCGAGAGGCATCGGCCAGGGTCTGTCCCGCGTCCGGCTCTTGCACTCGGCGCCGCGTCCTCGGGTCCACCGCGCGGGGCTGCGTCCGCGCCGCCTTCCTCTCAGGGCCGGACAGCTTGCGCGTCCACTCATCTCTGGGGGACACGGGCGGCTGTGGATCTGGTGAGCAAGTGTCTCCCCCGGGCAGGAGGCCCCCTGGCTGGGAGGGAGCTGCTGGACCACCCGGTAATTCCACATCTAACTTCCTGAGGAGCCGCCACCGTTTTCCACGCGGCGGCCCCACTTTCCACCCCGCAGAGCACGAGGCTCTGGGGTCTCTGCGTCTCCACCGACACTTGTTACTTCCCGCTTCCTCCACAGTGGCCAGCCTCGTGGCTGGGACGTGGTGTCTCGCTGCAGTCTCGCGTTTCCTGAAGGCTGTGCTCGTTGATGCGTCTTCTTGGGAAAAACGTCCACTCATGTCCTTTGTCTGTTTTTGAGTTGGGTTGTTTTGGTTTTTTGTTGTTGAGTTTTAGGAGTTTTTATAAACATATTCTAGATATTAATCCCTTATCGGGTACACGATTTGCACATATTTTCTCCCAATCTGTGCTGTCTTTGACTCTCTTTTGACACAGAAAAGGTTTGCATTTTGATGAAGGCTTTATCTGTTGTATTCCTGTGTTTTTGCCGTTGTGTATGAGAGATCGCTGCCAAATCCAATGTCATGAAGATTTTCCCGTCTTCTTCTAAGAGTGTTTTCGCTTTGGGTCCTGTGTCTAGATATTTGATCCATTTTGAGTTTTTCTTGCAATGGGTGTAAGGGGAGG